GCACCTAGCCTCGCGGTAGACATACCCTGCTGGTGGCCATTGGTATTAGTGATCAACAAGGATCTCCCAGATTATCCAGTCGGCTTGCACGTCACTGCTGACATTTTCAGGCTCGAGTTTTGATTGGTGTAATGGTTTTAGCCTTCCAGTCTTCCAGCTTGGGATTTTTTGAAGATAGGACGAAAACTTTCTAGATTACTTTGCGCATAAGCTTTACCACTGAGCATCCTTAATGGCTCCATGCTTTCTCTGATTTAGACTTTCCGGGCAGTAAAAGTTGGAAACCTACCTAACATACAATCAGGATGTAGGCAACTTTGACTTGAGGAAAGATCAATCGAGCATCTTGTGACCTTTACCATGATCGAATGGACTCTTTCTTGTGTCCAATGATGTGTCAGTATCATGTCCTGTATCCACCCGCACCAGACAAAATGACTTATGATGGATCCCAGGTTCTTATGGGGGTTGAGGAAATGTATTCAGACACGTGAGGTGACCAATAGGAGCTTGTTTACAATCTTGTCCAATGTGTTTCGCATCGACCAATCAGAGTTGGTGAGATCCGTGCTACCCAAAATTCAGGGTCAAGCTGAGGTAGGCAAAATTCCCCAAAAAGCCATAAAAAAGATAGCTCTGAGAGGCCACAACACCAGTCAAAGGGTGAAAAGTTAAGTCCTTTGACTGGTTTTAACCTCTGTTATCTCCACCATAACTAAGAGGTGAAAGGTACTTCACTGTTGGTCCTTTTTGAGAAAAAGTTTTAAGAAGCAGGTTTTTGAAGAAAGCTAGGGAATTTTATTTTATTTTATTTTTTTTATTTTCTTGTGATTCACTTAGACATTTTTAGATATACTTCTTCCCTTTTTTCATCCCATCTTTTTGTAGTTTTCTATATTCCAGTGACTTGATAGGACATTTGATAATGATAACCTGCTAACAATAAAATGGTAAATTAGAAAGGTCTTTATCTAAAGTTTACTATGAAGTGAAATATTGTTCTTAAGGTTAAACTTAGAAGCTATTATTGCCTATGATGAGTTGATTAGATTTGATATTAATATTTAGCTATAATATATATCATATGATCTAGTTTGGTTACAGGTACTCAAAAAATAAAATAAAATAAGTATTTTAATTTTTTAAGAAAAAATTAAAACATAAAAACAATCAAATTCTAAAAATAAATTTAATTTATTTATACTATTTTTTTGAACTTTTTTTTTTTTATAAAATAAATAATGAAGAGTTTTTTTAATAAATTTAATTATGTATTGTGGAGATATAAGTATTTTAAATTCATAATAAAGAGAAAGATAACCTAATAAAATTCAACTTAAAATATATACAGCACATATAATAATAATTTTTTATTTATTATATTTATTATAAATTACAAATTTAAAATTTTTAATTCATAAAAGCTAAAAGGAAGTCCGTCATCGTAATGATATTGAATCAGAATATTTATAAAAATTTTTTTAATCAAATAAGAATATACAAACTTTTTCTGAGACTTTTAGTTCGCATCCATTCGATGGAATTTAATTATAGGAAAACGATCAGTTCTTATGCACATTTATAAATAATTGCAATCATGTTGAATCCAAATTCCAGAGAAAAGAAATTGGTAGATTCAACAAGCAAGAAAACGATTATTTGTAACGTATGTAACAATATCATTCATTCATTCATCATCATCCAAATCTTCTAAATTTTCTTCAGCAAACAAATCCTCTTTCACTTCCAAACCGTCAGCAACAAGCAGAGAGGGAACATTACAATTGTCCATTTTATCCGAGGTCTCTTGGCTAATACCACTGCTTCCCTCTCCGTAGGGATTTTCAGAGATCGAGCTATCTTGACCATTTCCTTGGTCACGAACCACCACGTTTTCATCGATTTTGTCATTCTCCTGGTAATCCTCATCCTCGTCACGTTTATATCCAGATAAATCGAAAACATCATCATCGTCGTCATCATATTTATCCTGGTTTATAAGGTCTGGATTGAATGTGAAGAGATCACGACCTGACATGCCCTGAGATTTACCAGCCTTGAAAGCGGCTTCCTTAGCAGCCCTTTTAAGTTCCTCCTCGGCTTCAATCTTGGACTTACGGTTCTTTTTCCACTCGGTAAAACTCTCAAGGGTAACAGGGGTGAGGTTTGGTCCCAATTTATGACGCTTTATCGATTCAGACAAAAGATGAGTAAAACCTCAAGTTAAATCGGTCACTCAAAATTTAGAACCATAGGAATTACCTCAGTTTCCAGGAATTCCTCGAGAGTAATTTGGTTTGTTTCCTCCTCTTCAGCTTTCTTTTGTGCTTTACTTTTCAACACGAATCCCGGCGGGAGAGCATGCCTGTATTTGCATTTCTTTCCTGTAGTATTTCGAAAATATGTTTTTAACAGAAGCTTTAAAAGCAACATCATCTAATTGGAAATTAATAAGATAGATATACTTTAATACAACAAGATTCGAGACTTCTCACCCTCGTTTGGACATTCCCAGAACCAACCATATTTTTGATTCTCGATGGCTTCTAAAAAGTACTTACACACAATGTCTGTGGTAGTTTTAGGATTCCCGTGTTTTGAAGTAACAACCTGCTCAAGCTTCGCTTGATCCCACTTCTCCATTGTGTCTATTGTAAAAAATCAGTCAAGGATAATTTTAAACAAGTAGACAAGGGTTAGGGTATCGAACATACCGTTCCTCCTTTCCTCGTCGAGTCTTGAATCCGTGTATAAGTCAATTTTCGAACTTTTCCTTTCCACATTCAGATCATGAGAAAATTTACACTTATCACCCTTTTGACATTGTCCGACTTTGAAAAACTGACACAGAACTGTCTTAGAATCCACACCGAATGGCACCTTTTGTACTTGAACTGGTTTAAAGAGTTCAGCAAGTTCTTCCTTTTTTTTTTGTTCGGCAAGTTTTTTATTAGCAAGAGCTTGCTTTTCGGCCTCTTTTTCTTTCTTTTTTTTTTTTGAGGACAAAGGACAAAATCAGCCAGCTGAAACCTCAATGTCTTTCACGTTCTGGACTTGCACACTCACCTGAGCCTTTCTATTTCCTGCTTGCATCACTTGATTTTCTATCTGCTTAATTTGCTGTTGTACTTTTGCCGACTTTTTCTTGTTCTTTAAACCAAAAGTTTTGTCTTCGACAATCTTTTGTTTGTCTTTCTGCTTCGACTTCTCAGACTGCTGATTTTGTTTCTTTGGAGGCATCCTTTCGAATTGGATCAGTTGGTCAATGGAGAAATTTAATTGCCCGCGGACGGAAAAAAATTAAATATGCATGACTCGCGTTCCACAAAATATAACGGTCAAATATGGTAGCATGATGCACGTGAGTAGGCATTTTGCGAAAATTTGAACTTTTACATAACTTGGGAACGACGTATTATCATTCTCAATATATTATTATTCTTGATATCTTTACTATCACGTTATCGACTTTATTTAATTCGTGATCCACATATCAGAATATATTCTAAAGTTGCAAGTTTGCACTTTTTAATTAGATGGTTTGTTTATTAATGTATTCCACAGTATGATTTACTTCTCTTCCGTTTTATCGATTGCAGCAGTAGCACGGGCTATTGCGAGATTACAATGAATCAAAAAAGATGTTTGATAGAATGTGCGACTAAAAAATAGTGATGAAATCGGATAGGCATGCTTACTGTAGATGAGTTGTGAGCCGTGAGTAGAGATTTTTCGAATTAAACCTTGTTCTTCTAACACGCGGATCGCAGTTCTGGCAAGCGATCCGTTAACTCGAAGTCTGTCAACCAAAACTGACGGAGTTATGAGCTTATAGGTGGGTACTTCTTTAAATAATTTATCATAGGTGGCTTTATCGAGGACCACAGCATTGTTGGCCTTATCTTTGACTTTGCCTTTAGACCATTTCTTTTTTTTTTATATATATAACAGAAAGCATTATTCGCAGTAAATAATTGGGCGCTTAATTCTTCGAGAGGCAACGGCAAAATTTCGTGTAAAGTTTCTCTACCTTTTTCTTATTTTTCCCCCCACCGGAGGTAGGTTTGGCAGCCTTCTCTTTAGCCTAAAATTTTCAAAGTCAAATCATCATCGATGATACCCGTGCGAAACTTTTTGAAGAAGCAAAATGATTCTTGTGACAAACGTAATCTTACCATGTTCGATGTACCCAAATGAGAAAAAAAAAATAAAAAATTTTTATCAAAGATTTTTTTTTTTATGCACTGATGAAATTGCTTCCGTGCGTATCATTTGACACGTGATCATCGAAATTAAAAAAAACGCAAATAACCTGCGGCGTTATTTTTTTAAAAAAAAAAAAAAAAAAAAAAAAAAAAAAAAAAAAATGGCCGGTAAGAATGAAGAAAGGGAAGAAAAAGAAAAAGAAACTGTGGAAAAACCCGGAGGCGTAAGAAAGTAAAATAAGGGGGAAGAAGA